AGGAAATTGGATCTGATGTATTGGTATTCATGTGTAATTGGTTTTCAACTGATTGTCTCGAGTATTGGTTGGATAGATTACAACCCATGATTTCTACCAAAGAGCAATTTCCATATTTTGTGGCTTGTAATCGAATTGGAAATGAATGTGGAATTGATTTTTGTGGAATGAGTTGTGTTTATAATNTGAGTCATGAAATGCAACCAAGTAATGCTTTGGTAACTAGTTTACCACAATCAGAGGAAGCTGTCAAGCTTGTTAGCATTGCCTTGAATTTGTAATCTCAATAGAGATGAAATAAATTAGAAATAAATAAATTCATGATGAATACTGTTATTTCCGAAAAAAATGTATCCAATGCTTTCATCATCAAGCAGAACACCTATTGATGGTCGCCAATTTATTAAGTTATTAAAAACTAATACCAACGAAAATAAGGGAGAATTAGAAACCTTTTTTCCATTAAGCGAATTAGAAAAATCCAAGATTGAAACGCTCATCAATTTGGACAATATCGAATCAGCCATTGTTTCTACGAGCTCTGTTCTTTGTACGTATCCAAATCCTTTGTCTATGGATGTTATAGATAAAATCACAATGGCCATTACTTCCAATGCTTTCTTTCACAATGAGAAGGATACTGGTGGTAAAAAGTCTTCAGAGTTTTTCAAGGAATGGACTAATTTCGTTTCAAATCTCAACAAGTTCAAGATGAATCATCCCAGTTCCTCAGTTTTTTACACTATTTCTCGTTTATATGAAGAGACGACATCTTCCAACACTGGTTTCCCTTCACTCACCCAAGAGTTTTTTCTGGCAGCTCTTCATTGCAATATTTATTTCTTTGAAAACTACCTTCAACCCCAATCTGCACATATTCCTGCTCTACTCTACAAATTAGTTATGTTAGCAAGGGCATATCGGCCCTCAATATGTGCTGAATCCCAAATGACAACCATTCTGGAACATGCTTTTAAAATGTTTAGATATGTTTACTGGAAGCACAATGCTAATATCACGTTCGTTTCAGCATTTGACGAAAGGGATGCTACAATTCAATTTCCATTGGCAGAGTTCACTGATTGCTGTATTCACGTTGTAGAAACATCAGATTCTTTGGAATTTGTAAAACAAACTCTTTCCACAGCAATAGAACTACTAAATGAAGTGAAAGACAGAATATCCCACAACCAAGTCATTTTCCACTCAACCTGCCTATGCAAATGTTATAGTGCATGCCTAGAACATTTAAGAACTACTGAATCACCTCAAAATGTTTCCATCTGGGAGATTAATCAAAAAAAGTTGCGTTCTGAAATTAATAACGAATTGTTTTCTCAAACAATGAACACAAATATTGATGAAGATTTAACATGATCCTTTACAAAATAAAAGAGCGGAAGCAAATGATTATTAAGGAAGAAGAGCATTGATTTTGGATTTGTATTGTTTCGATAGATTGAAGAATTTGTCAATTCAATTAATGGATCAGTTTTCAGTCGTTGGAGTTGGTGTATGCATACTATGTTTCAGAAGGATTTATTCTATCATTCTCAGTTGCCATTTCGTTTGAGAGAAATGAAACTTGTTGACTTGTGTGAACTCCTCACCAGAAGATATCCATTTAATACTTGAAGGAAACGGTATGAATCCTCAGCATTTACGATTGTAGTATTGTTGTCATTGTGATTTTAAAAGGAGAAAGAAAAATGAAACTTTCTAACAAATTGATGCAAGAAATTGATTCTTTGATTGAAA